CGCACCTCCTCATTGGCTTTGCCTGTGGCCAAAAAAGAACTTGCAACAGGAGATGTCTCATGTGCTATTCTTTTTGACCAACGCAGGGGGTCGTGCAGGTGAGGTTGTGCAGAAGCTGCCACTGAGTTGTATCCTTTTTTCTGCAAACAAGAGGCGCTTTCAGGCATTTTGATCTAAACCTCCAAGGAGTCTCCCAGAATCCATTCTCTACAGCTCCAGTCTGACCCAGTAAAACCCTGGTCCTGAAAACCTCATCGAGTCTCTCCAAATTCTCTTTCTTGTATCATCAAGTCCATTGTAAAATGAGGTCAGTGTTACCAAAACTGACCTTGGCTCCACCCCTCCACCCCCACCCCCAACCCGCTCGACCCCACCCCGGTCGACCCGGTCGACCCGATCGGAGGCACCTCGACGGCGCCCTTGAGCCCGCCGCATCCCATGCGCACGGCGTGCGGGTGGCCCGGTGCCGTCGGCGGTCGGCGCATGCGAACGATGCGAACGCTCCATGCTCCATATGGTCCTTTTCCTTGAAGGTTTCTAAGACTCATCTTTTTTTGGGGGGTTAAGGTCAACCGTGAATGAAACATCAAGCATTTTTTTGAGAAGAAAGCTGTCGCGCGGCTGTTGCTTTCGCCCAGTTCCTATCATAGCTAATTATACTGATCAGCTTTGAAGATGAGCAGTGCATCGGGTGATTTCGATCCAGTTTGTTTGGTGTGCAATATACCGACACCCACGGCTGCCGTGGGTGTCGGTATGTTGCAGCAGGATGGAGGGTTTAGTGAAAAGAAGGAGGTGGGCCTGGTTCAACAAAGGTGGGACCACTACGACTGCTAGGAGCTCCTTCGTGGGGTGCACCTCACATCCCCCAGTCAAGACGGGGATTGACATCTTAACACAGTAACCTTTAGGATCCTTTAGGACCTTGGGGTGGTACCACCGGGAACATCTCTTCGGAATATCTCTTCCAGTCCCCTAGTTTGTCGCTCCGTGAGTCGCTCTGCCCAGCCTGACAAGATTGGTCCTATTTAACCCCTCCAAAGAAATCAGGTCCAGGGTCGAACCTGGGTGCAGTCATTCTGAGTGAGAGTTTGAGTTCTGGGACCCAAGAAGGGCGAACGATCCAGACAGTGGGGAGGACTCTGAGGATGGCCTTTTACAATTCCCCCACGCGCCATGAAAGCCAAAGACGCTCTTGGGACGCCGAGCTGCTCGGTGGCCATCGCCACAGATTGCTTTAAAAGGGCCATCGCGACTCGAAGCTTTCGTAGCACGGAACGCCCCGTTCGACCTGCCGCGCCGTGCCTGGGACTGGATTTCCTTGTCGCCCACCTCGAGGTCGGTCGCCTCCAATGGCTACTCCACGATGCCACTGCCGTCGGGGAGCCGGCGGTCGACCGAGGGACAGCGGGACCATGCTGTGGTGGATGGTCGGATGCGACGGAGGGACAACGGGTATCTTCAGATGCCTTGAGGTTTTAGATGGGGGCGTGAATCTCACAAAAAGCATCTGCATGTCTCTCAGTTGTTCTACACAGCGATGGCACGGAATTGATGCAGTTACTTTTAAGATCTTTTAAGGATGCTTTTTCTCATTTTCGTAGCAACACCTTCTACTCGGTATACCCCAAAGCTGCATGGAGCTTTGTGAACTCAACTCTGCACGTGCTTGGGGATTGCCAGGGACGGACGCGTCCGTCCGGTCCAACCCAGGTCGCCGCGGTCGCCAAACTCGTGGGTGCACTACACGCCACGAGCCCTGCAGACATTGGTTTGAGGCCGGTCTGACCGGTGTGTTGTGGGGGAAGGATGATCCGAAAAGGAGAGTCTTTGGAGGGTTTGGGTCGGTTTGGTATTCTTGGGCAGATGGTGCTGGAAATTCTTGGTGTGGACACTTGGGATTTGGAGCGAAAACGAGCGAAAGTCGGTCAGCGAAATCGACGGTTCTTCGCCTTCGCCATCGAAGGAATCTCCTTTCGCCCTGTCATCGAAGAACCAGATGCTTTCAAGGAATCACCCATCAACAAGCCTATACACTAGACTCGACGTCTCCATTGGACACCAAGACAGGAGACGCATGTGACTTCTTCTCCTCCGTGACCGCGCAGACCGCCTCCGGTTCGGCGGTACGCCCTGCGTCGTGAGAGGACCGCCAGGATGAGCTGAGAGGACCTGCGAGGACGGGATGAGTTAGCTGGGTTGGCAAATGAGGACGAAGTCCCTGGGCTCAAAGAAGGAGAGAAAAACCAGACAGGATCTAACGCTGTAACCAAAAGGTTGATGCTTGTTAACCATGTGACAATCAAACGTACTGGGTAGTAGGGTCAGCCGCGGATCGAATTACCAAGCCCCATTTTTTTGTGGCAGGTGTGAGACGGTCAATTATCACACCGTTTTATATAACGTCAATATCAAATTTATAATTTATAACAATAAAGTAGGCTTCACCGTGTGAAAAATGACCGCCCACACGGTCCCAGCTCTCCCAGTGTAGGATCGTAGGGGGTAAGTTAAGGGTTTGAGTTTGAGTTTGAGTTTGAAGCGCAACTTTTGTCTCGGCAGTGTATCCTTTACTTCCTGGACCAAACCTCTGGCGACGGAGGGACCAAGGTCTGGGAGATGGGAGTCCCGAGCAGAGTCCGCACCCAGATCCTCTTTCCCGTCGAAACCAACCAGGTGGGGCGGGGGCAATCCATAGATGTTGTCGTCCAACCTTATGCGGATTGGGGCTCTCGGTGCCAGTTGAGGATGATGAAACCATATTATAACCTCACTCGCACCGCAGAAGCTGAACCAAAAGAAAAAGGATTTGCCAGAGCGGATAAAATTGGACGAAAGACATTTGCCAACCCGGCTTCGTAGTTTGTACATATACAAGAAACGCTCAGGAATGGCCCAGAGTTTCGGTCACTTCTTTTGGCGCGAAAGCTGCCTGCATGACGCAAGTTCACCGGTCAAGCATGTTCGCAGGTGTGTTGGACATGAAACAAGCAATGGCCTGGCAATGGCCTCCAACCTACTAGCGATGGCAACCGACCTAATAGCAATGGCCTCCAACCTACTAGCGATGGCCTCCAACCTAATAGCAATGGCCTCCAACCAAATAGTGATGGCCTCCAATTTATTTAATTAAGTATACGTAGGGAGTCCCTGGTGTTTGAGTGGTTGCAAGAGTCGAGGGTGCCGAATTGTCAGACTTCCCGTCAGGTCAATATGTGATGCACGTCAGGTCTGCTGCAGATGGATCTTCTTAGCCACCCAATGTTCCCACAGGTCTCTTCTTTTGTGAACTTCAGGGTGACGAATGGCCTGACGTCTCCATATGGGGGGGGTTCATCAATCCAAGATATATTAAGGGAATCGCCTCTGTGTATCGGGCAGCGAGTGCGCCAATGAGATGCTGCCAATGCATGGCATGTGTCACTTGTAAGCGGATGGGCCAGGGGGACTGTGATGGACCGTCTGACTCGTCGCGGTGTGATGGGTCTTGGTGCGGCTGAAGTGAAGTCATCCAGTCATCCGGTTAAGAAAGAGACTCAGATCTTCCAAGAGGTAGGAGACATGGGTAATCTATGTCTGGGGAAGAGCTGGGATACTTACCCTGATTGGAGATTTCAACGATTTGGGCAGCTAGGTGCCAGTAATTAGGAGGGCAAGTATAACAGCAAGCAACACGGCAACAGCAACTCATCTCATATCATAGAAACCCTCTCGGCTGCAATCAAAAGGAGGGCCTAGGTTCATTCATTCCTAGCAAGACGAAACATGCCTGAAGGCATGTTTCATCAACTTCAATTCTCAGGTAGCGCAGCAGAAGATCCTTTCAAGTTTAAGCTGGGAGGACTTGCTGGTGATGGAACTCAGACTTGCTTAGGGACCAGTTTACTGGTCAGTGCAGGAGAGATCTGGGTCTAGAGGGGGGAAAAAAGACCAACACGTCTCTCCTTGGCGGAGTCTCTCCGCACATTCACGTCATCCATGAGCAGTTGCGGACCGACGGCGGAAGGAGTCTGCATGTTCCGCCCGTCGATCGTTTCGGTCCTCGTTTCGAAGCACTTCCTTTCATAGCCTATATAGAGATCCTTTGGAACGGTCATGTCACGTGGCCGAGAAAAGGCCAGGGGTGAGGAATTTAGATGTGAGGATACGAAGAATGCATGGTGCAGCCCCTACATGGATGGGCCATACTGGGCTTGTTGGAACCTTCAGAAGGAAGTACTGGATCGAAGAATGAGAGTTCGTCCCACTGGCCCTTTGCCGTGCCAATGCAGATGATGCAGATGGCCGCGCGCAGATGTGCCGTGTTCGGCGAAAAAGAAGGACCACCGTTGCGAAGAACTGTTTGTTTGGCAGTCTATTGAATCTGAAGACATGTTTTCAGTCGAAGGTTGGGACAGGTATAGAAGGGAGACTCCCCCAAAATCAATGGGTTAAGTTACAGTTGATTTTTCCTCTTCCCTGGGATGTGAGTTTTCTTTTTTCCATGGGTTTCTACGCCCTGTGAATCTGAAAGTCTCAAAACTCCCCCCTACAAGGTCCTTCCCTCCCCTGCGAAGAGTTTGGACTTCAAGGATTGTTTGGGTACCCTAAGAATCCTTGGGCTCTCCAGTTCGCAGGGTACCTGGTCCAGAAGGGCCTGGATTCTTAGGGGTGGTGACCCCTTTTCGGGCTCGGTGGTGAGTCGTTGCGGGTTTTCCACGGCCTTCACACCTGGAGCGGCACGAGCGGCACAAGCCGACCGTGCGGTCAGGCCGCGACCTGCATGCGGCCAGCATTCTGTTGGGATCATTAGCCCCACTGAGTTTCTCCCAGTTTTGAGAAATTCAAGACACCTTTCCTGAGTGGGATGAACGGTTGCTGGCTTCCTTTTGGAAAGATGCAACCCAAACAATTCTTCAGCTTTACCCAGAGGTGCTCGCACCACCGCACGGCCACAGCCGCACTCACCCAAGCTGCTCACTCCGTCCAGCCGCGACGCTGCTCGCCACAGCCGAGCGGTCATGCTCCGTCCATGCGAGCTCGCCCAGTGGACGACGGTGCTGCTGACCGGATTGCCGAAGAGTCTGAAGGTGCGGAAGAGTCGGAGCGATCCGGACGCCGACCGACATCGCTACGGGGCGCAAGAAGAAGAAGCTAAAAAAAGGAGCCTTTCGGGCATCGCGACTCGAACGGAACAAGGACGCGACGAACGGGGCGCAACTGGCCATACTACTAGGAGCATGGACGCTAAGTAATAAGGACCACTGGATTCCGGGAGAAATGCCTGGAGCCCCCCAACCCCCCCCAACCCCCCCAACCCCCTGGCCCAACCAATGGTTTTTGGTCTATTTTCCCTATTCCAGAGGGTCAAACTGGGAGGTCTCCCTGTTTCAATAACCCATTTCTGGATGGGTTGTCTGGATTATGTTGGATTCCTCAAGAATGTCGACAACTGGATCCGGATATATCCGGATTATATGTAACAAACATCTCTGATGGGCGACAGCGTTACGAATACCAAAAAGGTCTCGGCGAGGACCCTCCAAAATGACGTCCAGGTTCAAATGCTGTTGGATCTATACTGCCCTCCCAATGGCAGTGTCGGTTACATTTATTGCAATTCTCACATGCATGTGGCTCGAGGGCCCAACCGGACACATCTCCGTTCTTTCGGACTCTTAGACTCTCGGACTCGCTTCGGACCGTGCCCGGCCGTGGCAGGCGCCGATCTTGTTGGGGCTTCTGGATGATGAATTCTTGGGAGAGTATGACTATTTCTATCTCCCTGTAGATCGCCGGACGTTGGAATGCAAGGGCTTGGCTTACATCAACTTCCGCTCTCCTGAGAAGGCGCTCGAGTGCCAGAGACACTTCGAGGGCTGTGTGGAGTGGCCGTCCTGCGATCCCGATCCTGCCGAGGGATGTGGGGTGGATTGGGCTTTTGTCCAGGGCTTTGGGGCGAATGTGGAGAGACAGCGGAGGCTTAACTGAAGATTGCTCTAACTAGTTTTTTTTTTAAAGTGATAGTCCCTGTAGATTGGGACGACAAAAAGAAGCACACACTAATTTTAGTATTTTATTTCACCACTGGTGGACTTCAGGAAGATGTACTGGGAGCATGTGAATGTGCCTGAAGAATGCAAGCCAATGGTCTTTGACGAGCATGGGGCACCTTTGCCCAGCACGGTGGTCTTTGGTGCGAACTTGGATCGTCCAGACCTTGATGACGTGTGGTGCGTCTTTCGTCGGACGCCGTCTCTGGAGGTCGAAAATCCGGAGACTCGTGGATCTTTGCGGGAAGCGTTCCTTGCTGATGCTGAGGGGTGATGTCTTATTCTCCCGAACTGGGCTTTCATCCCCTGGCATGGGGACATCTGGGGAAGATGCAACCAGGAGACCCTACATTGGTGGCACCGACGTGTCCATTAACTACCGGTTAGACTTCCAAACAACAGCCCTTGGGGTCTCCTGGTATTTTTTCTTGGGTCTCGGCAATTTCTTTTGTTTTTCACACACCAGGTCAACTATCCTTTTTCTGGTCTTGGCAGCCTACTATGGTGCGTGTTCTTTTTTCAATGTTTTGTGTGGCTTCTTCTCAGCAAATCCTAGGTTCTGGTGGGGCTGGTGGAGTGATCCTGACCACGATCCACGCGGGGGGTGCGTGCGGTCAGACGTGTCGGATGCCAGTGGCCCAACACCGTCCACAAGGGTCTCGGAGTGCGAGGTGTTCAAGGGGAGCGAAGACTCAAAGGAGCTTGGGCTATTGGGCTATTGGGGGAAGGGTAGTTCCTAGCCCTAGCCGGTTCCGAGGAGAGCTCTCTTGGTTTTTAGCTCCATTCAACAGTTTTCAAAAGCGTGGGCCCATTCCGTAGGATTATTGATTTTGATCGTCTTTACCGAAGAACCAATATTGTGGATTTTACACTACAACACCAGGTCAAACATGTTTTAGTGGTCTTGGAAGGGCATTTGAGTCTTGCTTTTTCTTCTTAGTTCTTTGCAGGGGGTCCACTTGTGACTTGGATCCCAATGCGAGGTAGGAACACATGCTTGGCCTCGACGTGCACATGTGCACTGATTCGCTCCTTTGATTCGTTGGAATAGACTCCCTGGCCCACCGTTTGTAAGCAAGACACTCCATGGGACTGGAATCTAAGCCTGCATTGATGCCCCAAAATGCCCCCCAAGTGATCGAGTCCTGCAGTCCCATGGAGGGGAAGGAATGAGAGAAGTGCAGGAGTTATCACAGATGGCCTTTTACGATTGGTTGGTGGATTTTTCTTCTACTGATAAGCCGGTCGAGCTTTCCACCCATAGGTGTCTATGGACCTAGCACTGACCGTGATTCCTGTTCGGTCGGACATCATTGGGAGGAGCTCCTAGGTTCCCAACGGAACCAAACGAAGCATTTGGATTGCTGCACCGCATCACATCAGTCACGATTCATCATATGTCACATGCTGCTGCCAAACAAAGACATCAAAACCACAAACCTATGATCTTCCACCCATGCAACACTTCTGCCTTTTCATCCACGAAACCCAGCGAAAAGGCAGAAATTCGACATAGTTTGGAAGATCCAACCACCCACGTCATCAAACAGCACGTTTTAGGCACGACAGAATGTACGGCCACGTTCCATCCACCCAGCGACTCCTCCAGCGCGGCTGACGTCCGACCGCTGTTGCGGCTTGGACGTCTCACCAGGACCTGCGCGGCACGTCGACGAATGCGGAGAGCGTCCGAGACGGGCCGCGACTGAGCTGAATGCGGAGGAGCTGAAGGAGACTCATCAGATCAGTGCAACTAGGCCGTGACTGCAAGCGGTAAGCATGAAGGAAACTGAACCCCACACGCTGGACGAACGGCGGAGAATCGTCGTGAACCAATGGCTTTTTCCATCTCTTTTCCTTTTCACCGAACTCGGACTCATAGGTTGTGGCACCCTGAAAGGGGTTGGCAGCCTGGACGGAGCGAAAACTCTTCGATTTCTTCAGATTGATGCTTGCCTGGAAACCCAAACAACCGGAAATAGATGGTCCCAACTACTTGCTATGTAAAGGATTTGAATTGCCGTATATTTGGAAAGTCCGTTTGGTTGTTTGGGCTTCCAGGTGCGGGGTGTCTCTGTGGAAGATGCCGCGCCTAAGTCAGACACAGATTTGGAGGTTTCAGTGTTTGGAACATTTTTAAAGGAAAAAACACAACATAGAACGGAAGCTTGGGAAGCTTGGGTCATTTGTGTTCCACTCATTCTTTTTTCAATCCATGTGAGGCAACGGGGCAGCCAGAGCTTCTTGGCAGTGCGGACGTTGATCTGCGACGACGGCGGACGGTCCGGCTGACGGAAACATGTGATTGGTGACCAGCAAAGACACCTGGATTCGACCAAGCGAACCCAAAGGAATCACCTACAGTGGTTTCAGAATAGATGGCACAACCCCCAAGATCTCCTTTAGATGGGGGTCCATATAAACAACCTCTTGCGGTCTGTGCCATCGACTCCCAATCCACTATACGGCGGACCGAACGGCGGACCCTTCGGCTCGGAGTCTGAACCCAGTTTGTTTGGAGCAGGGTGAAAATGGACCGAAGCAACCTGTAGCAGTTGGTCCATGAGCCTCAGTTTCATTCAACAGGATCCTTTGTCTCAGCAAATATCACATGGATGGTGGTGACCTCATCCCCAACTGCAGAGGAGAAGCTCCTTGGTGGCGACGTTTCAGAGCAGAAACTCGTCAACTCATACTTCGACATAGTGATGTGGCAGACTCTCAGTCTGGTCTCTGTTCCAACCTGACGAACCCCCCCAGGGTGCAGCAAAACGACCTGAGAACCGACGCATTCAGACGACCTGCGGGTCCCGATTTGGGGCTCCCCGATCTTCATCCCACAAACCGACGCCTGGAGCCATTAATCGGAAACTGAGCCCTTGGTCCAATGGCGACATCGATGGACATAGACGTTGGACACAGGGGGAGACGCTGGAATACCTGTGGTCTCTGAAACCCTTCCCATTTACCTATACTTACCATTTACCTGCTTTGTTCTTCTCCTATAAACACACTTCTCCCACCTTTGCCCTGGAGCCACCAAGGTGAGTTTGTTTCCAGCGTGAGTTGCCGTGCGGGACGGGAGAAGGAGGGTCCCGGAATTCGCTTGCAACGCCGGAGGAAAAGGCACCGTGGAGCGGAAGTACATCGGATCGGATGACGAGACGCTTCGTTCTTCAAACGCCAGTTGATCGAAGACCAGTTGAAGTAAAAGACCAAACGCACACCCCAGTTGATCGAACCCATCGAATGACTTCTTTTCTGGAATTCTTTGAGATGGATCGAACACCAGTTGATTGAACGCAACCAGGCTATGATAGCGGCGAATTAGTAGGTGACCCGAGGCGCAGAGTGGTGCACTTTCTCTGGAAGAGAGCATACCAAGACCATCCAAGACCCCCCTGGCGATCAGAGATTCGCTTGGTCGCTTGGTTCGCTGACAAGGCCCGATGGATCAGGGGTGTGCCCTTACCTGTAACAGTCGGTAAACAATTATCACAGATATTTTATGATATTTTAATATGATATCATTACTATTTTATAATATTTTGGAGAAGGGGCCTTTACTTGGCATCATCAACCGCTGTTACAGGGAATGGGATATACCCAACCTATCAAACATCTAGGAACGTCTGGAATGCATGCCCTTGCCAGTCACTGGGATGAACCGACTGACCACGGCGACCACGGACCGAGGTGGATGAGGACGACGATCGAGAGTGCACAGAACACGCGGCGCCGACGACGACAGACGACGACATGCTCTGAAAAAGAAGACGCAATGGGCACGCAGAGATGGCGGGATTGGGTGACGACGGTGGATTTGGTTGAAATGACGGGTGGATTTAGCCAAGCTCCAAATGGGATGGCGGGATTTTTTCAGAGTTTCTTTCTATAGCCAAATGAACCACCATGAGTGTTTTGGTTCAGCAGCTGAAAGTGACCCGTTGAAAGTTGTTGTGAAAGTGCATTGAGCAAAGTGAGTTGAACAAAGAACACAGTCAGCTATAGAATGGATTTTGGAACGCTAAGTAATTAGATCCTTCAAAAAAGACCTGAAACAGCCTGCACCGTCACAAACTCGGAGATGCACTTTGAGACCAGTGAGTACAAAAAGCTGTGAAGCATTGCCCACTGGTCGGCAGGTGAGTCAAACGACCCTACTGGCTCTTCAGCGTTCTATGTTCAACTGAACTCCTGCACACCAGAACGTGGTACACGAACGATGAAGAACGATACGCAGACAAAGATCGATGTTTTGGAACGGTGCCCATGGCTGGGATTACCCGCGAACATCCACAAACCATGGCTGGATTTTGAACTGGTCTATCAGTGATGCAAAGAATGCTGGGATTCGATCAAGATTGACCTGGTTGGTTTTGGCCCAACTTTCGACACACTGAATCCATGAAGACATCGTTGGGCGCTTTGGGATTTGCGCCGCTGACTCGTCCGGCAGCGCGCTGCCCGAAGCTTTTGGAAGCCAAAGAAGCTCCCAAGCCAATTGTTGTCAAGTGGGAATCAGTGCGCATTTTGCGGCAAAGTTCCCAGTTGGGAGCTTCGCTTCAAGCCTAGTTGACTTTCAGCTTGGCAATTCAGCCTCTCAAGGAATCTGATTGAGGGAAGTGTGAAAGGACCTTCGGATTAGTTTTAACATGTTTTAAACATGCAACCCCAACCTGAGCACGCTGTCACAAGCCAGGGTTTCCTCGCAAGCAAGAGACCGGTGCTGCTGTGAAGTCATATCCATTCATAGGCAGGTATAAATCATTGATCAAACTTTCTTTTGGACACGACGTCGACGTGCAGGAACTCAAACTCCCTGACGACAGCAGACGTGAAAACCGGCCTCCCATGTCGGCGCCTGACAGGAAGAGCCACAAGGCTCCGAAGGACAACCGAACCCAGTGGAATCCCAAACCGCAAGGAACCGTTGGGCCCGTTTTAGTGTCGGTTTAGAGTCGAAACGGCTATCAACGACGGGGGACAGGTGACCGCGGTGGTCCTTGGAAACTCCGCTGCGGTCCTTGGCGGTCGCAGGCGGTGTTTTCCACATGTGGATCCAGTTTGGTGCACAGCCCATGCATTTGATGTTCGACGTTAACACACCCCTTGGCGCAGTCCCTGAGCATGAGGTGCTGTGGAAAAATCTTGTACCACCCAAGATTTAAGCAACATTTGGAGGGTTTGGGGGGTTTCGAGGTGCTGCATAAAAACCATCCAGCAACAGTCATCCACGCACTTCTCCAGATACCTATATTCATTTCAACGACTAGGGTTACTGTGACATTCTCAATCGTCCTGTGCCAATGCTTGGTGTTACCTTATATAATTAACCCGGTGCAGACAAATTATTCCAAAGCCTCCTTCAAGGCTTGCCGTGAAGAATGTTTCGTCTCTTGACCGGTAGCAGACTAGAATTTAGAAAGAGTCATTTAGACAACCCAGAAACCTACATGTGCGCGCATTAAAACAGGGAGACCTCCCAGGCAACGACCGTCTACCCATTGGAATACACACCCACATGCTTCATGTTTACCTGATCTGAGGGGTCGATTTCCGCTGCCTCTGGAGGATCTCCATCATCTAACTTTCCGGTCTAATTATACGCCTGACAGCGTGAACTCTTGCCACAGAAACCACAAAACACAGATCCGCAAGTGGCTAGCAGATCAGCATCCCAACCCAAAAGAACATGACTGTCAAGTGGCTAGCAAGGATGTCAAGTGGTGATGCAATCGACGAGCACGGTATTCGGAGGGTCCAGGTGTTGCATTTCGCACTGCGAGAAGACCTGCATTCCGCCACTGTCGCACCAGACCTTTGTTCGCTGCGCGCTTCGCCCCCGTGGTTCGCTGCGCCGTTTTGGTTGCGGGCACCAGGCATGTCACTTGCGCTTCCATTGCCAAATGGGTGATGGGCCGGGGCTCTTGTTCCGGACTGTTTCGGGCGATGCAAAGATGGACCTTTCACTTACTGTACATGTCGGGAATGGAATCTAAGGGTGCATCGTTTCTAAGTAGCGCTTGATGGGTGGAACGGATTTCCAATACCCTGGGACTCTAACTACCTCCTAAGAAGGTGGTTTGAGGTGGGTTTGGAGGAAGCAATTGGAGCCCTAGGGGTAGCTTATATTACGGGTGACAAGGAGCAGTCTGAGTCATACCTCCTTGGCCGATGAATGAGACTGGGCCAAGCGTGTTGCACCAATGGATCTCATTTGACCGAAAGTCAAGCCCGTCAACTCGCACAAGACTAGCACGTCTCCCCTGGAATCTAATTTCACTCGCACTCCACAATGTGCTAGCTGTTTTTATTGTTTATGTGTTTGCTCTAGTGTTTGATTTTCAGTTTGTGCAGGAACCCTTTTCACACACACACATAAATATAAACAATCAAACACATTCCGAAACCATGGCATGGCAGAACATGGGGCATGAAATCATGTCCAAACTTGCAAGAATGTGCAACAAATGACATCAAAGCTGCAAGATCCTGGAATGGAAGTCGAATTCCCCTTTGCCTGAAGATGGAATTGAAGACTCATTTTCCGGTTCTTTAAGCGAATGCAAGTTCTTGCAGCTACACTCACAGCACTTAAGTCTCACTAGAGCCAACATCAGCTCTCCACAAGAAACCGTCGTGTCAGGGACAGGCAGTTTCAGGTCCTTTCATGGTTTTGGGTTTCGCGTTTTCTTGTTTTATTCTTTTCAAATGATCTGAGGAACGCATGAGAGGGGAAAAGAACAGAATTTATTGACCGGTTTCCGATTTGGTCTAGCTGGTAATTCTGCTTTGCTCCGCGCACCCGGAGATGCATCAGGCCGGTGCCCTGCAGGCGTGGGACGCGATTGGGTGGATGGGAGGATGACAGGAGGAAAACCATTTGTTTATAGAGGAAACCCAGCTGTTTATAGAAGGAAGGGGAGTTCACCACCTGCAGATGTACACCGCCTGAAATCATCATGGAAGGGGCGTGGAAATTACCTGTTGATTTCAGGGCCATCGTTTTAGGGTCATCCACTTGCATGATTGTTCAAGGGGGGTGTATATCTTGGGTCTGTCCAAACTTACCTTGTAGCAGTTAGACAATCAACAATATGCTTGAACAAGGCCTTTACTAACCATCATCATCCACTGTTACTGGTTACTGGCAATTGAACCCTTGAACTTGAACTGTTTTTTTCTACTTGAACTGTGGAGGGTCTCATCACGAGGTGTAGGTGTCTCAGCTACTTTGAAGAACCCATCGACAGCTCAGCCAGGCGGATCAAACAACACCCATGCGACGAGCGGTCTCTGCTGTCCCCGTCGTGTCAGGTCCGTCGCATGCGACGACGAATGTGGGGTTTGAGCAGGTGAATCAAGTCGCCATCTGTGTGAAGAGAAGCCCTATGCTCGGTGCTCAGTGCGTCGCTCGCTGCGTCGCTCCGTGCGCTTTCGGCTCTTCGCTCCGTGCCTCCCTCTGCGGTCGCGTGCTTCGATCGTTTTGGTTCAAAAGGAACGGTCGGTTCGTGTCTCCAGAGCGTCTGACACCGATGGCGGCGAGCAAGGAGCGAAGTGAGCAGAAGATGGGCTGAGAGGTGGAGAGGCTGAGAGGTGAAAAATAGCATTGCTCCATTTTCTGGGTGAGGGAATCTTCAGATACTGAAACTCGTAAACACGAGTAAACCATTGTGAACCAAGGTATAGAGGAGATGGGGCATGCCTGAGGGCAATGCCTGAATTTCATGAACTGGGCAGGGCCCGATGTTTGCGAGCGAACATGTGTTGAAGGGTCAAGAGACTTTGCACGGGAATGCCAACATCCTAAACTTATTTACTTTGCACCCGAACATTAGCAAACAAAACAAAGAGCAAAACCAGATATCCGGCGCTCTGCCTCGCCGGATGAACTCGTATGGAGTCTGTTGTCATCGTGGCAGGAAGAAGATGTGCAGATGATGCTGGCCTCTTGACCTCCCGAGAACTGGTTCAGTCGTCCAGTCGTCTTGAGATCTGTTTCCACACAACAAAAAGGCACATGGAGTCTCAAAGTACCTCAGAAAATGGGTACAAGTACCTGTTTTTATAGGGTCATGTCACATTTTCTAAGATATTTTGGAGAGTCCAGGTCTTTGTAGGCGGAGTTTCGTCAATCCTTCGAGTTTGGTCCACACATGATGGACGACCCACCTCTGCTGTAAGTCAGGAAAAAATCAAGCCCCAAGCCAGTTTCGTGAAATCTGCTGGGACCGTCATGGTCATCCCATACAGATGGACTAGTGCACCCCCTGGTGCTCGCAAACCCACCCCAAACCATCAGCTGGCTCCACCGCCAGCGTGGCCCGCAGAACGGGTGCTCCGTCGGGTCTGCAAGGTATGCAAGACCCACTTGGGCACCCGCAACGTGGATTATCGGATGAAGCGCTACGTCTTCCGCCGCACGGTGGATGGGATCCACATCATCCATTTGGGCAAGACTTGGGAGAAGCCCCTTGGCGGGAGCAACAGAGACTGTGGCGCCCAGACAGACTGAACCCTTTCCGCGCCCTGAAACCACGAGATCTTGCAAGATCACTTGCAGATTGTACCAAGATCAGGCTCAGTGACCGAGGGACGAACGTGATACTGCAAGTACCGGGAGAGTTCTCACCTTCGAACAGCCGCCCAGTTGAACCGGGTGAACCGCGTCCGGTTCATCTGCGTCTCGCGTCTCTCGCGGTTCTTCGGACGGATGGGATTTTGGCTCCAAAGTCTTCCTCAATGGGCGAGGAATGCACGGATTTTGCCAGTCAGAGCAGTTGGAATTGATCCCATGTACCTCTACACCGTGTACCTCGAAAAAGAGGCTTCAGATGAACAGCCTGCGGGTCGAAATGATCCAGTCCCGGCGGGGGACTGGAAGGGCGGAGTTTCATCTGCTGAGGTTGCAGTGCGCTGCTCGGATCATTGTGGCCATTGAGAACCCTGCGGCAGCTTCCGCTGCGAAGGGAGGAGCGCGTTCGGCAGCGTGCGTTCGGCGGGCGTTCCGCTGGCCTCGTCGAGTTGGATAGGGTTGGATGGGGTTGGGATCCAGGAGGTGAAGGGTGTGGTGTTGGATGAAGCAGGGAAGAAGAAGAGAAAACCTTTAAGGGGGTCGACCCTAAAGCAAGTCACAGTGTGGTTGATGGAAACAGGAAAAAGCGGTTGTTATAGACCAATAGACCATCTTTGGGTTTCAAGTTTCAAGGGATGTGTGGCAGATGCTCGAGGATTCATGGTGACGGTGAACTACACTGCACTCTACAACACTCACAGACACCCTTGGTTAGAGGAAGCCTATTCTCCCAATCAGCTGTGAATGCGAATGTCGTCATCGAACGTCTATGTTTTTTGGAGCTACTTCACCAACCATTTGTATCATTTGCTCTGAACGAGCATTCCCTAAACAACCGTTTAAACAAGAAAGACCTGGCAATTTGCCAAGCTCCCAGCCAGTCCCTCTCCCCATCCAGTCTTCCCCAGCCTGGCCATGGTCCAACACCGAAAACACGCCGAAGAAACCACCCACAAGGTCCGGACGAGAAGGCGGTCCACCGGACTGCTGGAAAAGGGAGCCGGATTCTGACCCATAGCTATCTCATGGTATCATAGCATATCATAGCTATCTCATGGTCTAAAATAGATGAAAAAGCAGACATTTTCTTGAGGTGAGTTGGAAGATCCAGCTATGGATCCAGTATGTATATGGTATGCCGGTTCCATGGGCTACATTGACCCCTTGCACTTGAACCCCGTTTTTCCCTGGTCGCATGCCGTCCGATCCGACCCTCAGATCCCCGGTCAACGCCGAACGCGGCCCGACTCGTCCACGCCGGACCGCTAGAAGACGAGTCCAAGAATTGGGAGCGACCTGTGACCTGTAAAATCTTCAAGTCAAACAATGGTTGTTTTATGTTGTTTTGACAAAGCCTATTATATAAACTAATTTGTGGTTGCAATGGAAGACCTTCCCACATTTTTTCAGACAAGACCTACCACCAGGACCTACCACCCAGACCCATCCGTCCACCGTCCCGCGACTGAGGACATCATCGTCGCGAGCCAGCGACCCTACGGTTCGCGGGCCGTGCTGAAGTTCAGCCAGTAGCTGGTTCAGCCACAGTACGGGAGGGCGAAAGCGGCGAAAAACCGAAAGGGCTAGGTCTGGCGGACCCGATAGGATCATGGAGGCTTCCGATAGTATGCTGCATGCTGTGTTTCCTCGTGAGAAGACCGTGGGTGGGAACACTGCCCAAACCTTTAGTCATTGGTGAAACAGACTCTTTTTAGAGGCCGGTTTTGACCGCCGAACACGCGCCGCGCCACGTCGCGCCCACGGCCCGAAGACCGCCAAGGTATACTGGCGCCAACCCACTTGCTGGACGATGGACTCCTGGTATCTTGGGCCTTACAGGAAAGTGTGACCGACAGGTGTCAGTGGATTGCACCCAGCATCACTATGTCATGTCCATCTGATCATGTCCAAGCCTATGCAGGGACCAACAGTGCAAGTTTTTTTGGAACTATTTGACTATTTGGAACTATTTAGTCCAGATTTTCTTGGTGTCCTCCATCCTCCATGTTCAGGTACCTTGACCAATCAGATCACCCAGAAGTACCTCGAGCCCCGACTGCTCATCGTTACGGACTGACCACGTCGCTGTGCCTGTCGCTGCCGTTGTTGTCAGTGGCACTGTGTGACGGCACTGGTGGGCGTCACTCGCGGGTCGCGTCACTCGCGAGGACGAAGAGTGAATTTGTCCTTCGACCGTCCTGACACCATGAAGTACTCGCGTGGTTCGATTTACTGGGGCAGACTGGATCTGTAGCAGTTCCATGCCAGCTTCGAGTCCAAACCAATTTGCAGTTGGAGGGAAAGCAAATATGGCGCGGTCGACATGGGCAGCCATGAAGCAAGGAACTCTTCTACCCTTAGCTGCGGCAAAGCAGATTGTTTTAGACACTGCCTCAAGAATCCTTGGACCCTCCATGGGCAGGGGTTGGACCCTCCATAGCAGGGGTCCGGACCCTCAAAACCCCTTCCATTTGAGGGCCCGGATTCTTTGGGTGCTGACTGCCCACAATGGGAAAAAGCCACGCCGCCGAATCCGAAACTTGCAGTCCTATCGGTTTGGACACTGCTCCTCTCAGCGTTTGAACGCAGATGTTGTGTTGTTTGTTTTTGTTTTGTTCCCAAACGGTTTACTGTTCGGGGGGTTCTCTCTTATGAAGAAAGACACCGACCACAGTGTGCGCACACCATGCAACCGGATGCCGCAGGAGCCGTCGATCTATAGAATTGTCAGATGAAACGGGGGCCTTGCGCTGTTTAGACTGCAGGTTTCAGTTCCCTTGTTTGTCTGGTTGATGTTGGCTGTGTAATGTTGTGTGTTCTTTTTCTCAGAGCCGTGGCAGGACCTCATTCGTGCCCGCGTTTGGCTTCCGGCTGGGCGTGTTGTCTTGGGCGCCCAAGCTGCCAAGGCGGTGCGGTCGACACTGGAAGGCAGCAGCGCAGGCCGCAATCCTTGGAGCACGGCCGCGGACAGGTCCATGGAGGCAGGCAAGCGTGGCTTTTACAAGTGAAATTGGCCAAAACATTTGGAACAGCTGTGAACCGTTTCCCTGCGTAGGAAATTGCGGGCGCTCTTGCCCATTGGTGGCACGCTGGCGGTGGGAGGGACAGTCTTCGCCGTCAACTCGGGGCAGGCGAGCCCCATATGTTTACATGCGTGTCGCCGCTTATGACTCAATTGAGGCAACTTGCAACGGAAAGCAGCCGTGGACGCTTTGAAGGGCGTGCTGCAGCGTCGAAGGCGCTTTCAATCAACTTGTCCCGGGGGCCTGTTCAAGATTCATCTCTACTCTGGCAGGAACGTCCGTCGCTTCCTCAGAGCAGCGACCAGTGGCCGTGTGTTGCATTGCTTACCCTGCTGCCCTCTGCTCGCCACGCTGAGGTGACTAATCACCCTCTTGCATCCTCTTGCTGGGGTTGCTGGGGTGGGAGCGTACGGGCCTCGTCGTTCTTGGGTTGTTTGATTGTGAGCGGGCCCTGCTTTGCCCCACCGTGCCAAGGATGACACAAGTGAGTGCAGCGAGACGACAGTGCCACGTCAGTAACACGCGCGGTGGCTTTTCACGTGAGCTACGGCCGTCAGGGGGGACACGCGCTCACCATGACAGCTCTCATCCTTGCATCCATTTGTCAGTAAATTTGGGGGGCAAAGAGTTGCAGCCAGTTGCAGCTGCTCCCTGTTGAGACCGGCGTGCCTGGCCTGAATTCATACAGTTACTTTTGTCCATTAAGTCCATTGGTTCGTTTTCGTTGCGGCGTTGTGCCAGGTCAAAATGACATCGCCATCTTGGAGGCGAATTTCCGAGGTATTCCTTCTTCTTAACCATGTGTCGGCGTGAGCACTTTTCCCAGGCCGGCCTGATAGCGTCGCCGCCGATGCTGTCATAGAGGATTCATATAGTAGAGGCTTTCAGTTTAAAGGCAGAATGAAATGACTGCATCTTTTCGGTGCCCAGGACTGCCTGTGTGGTCGAATCAATCTCAAGAAGCTTTTGTTTTGTACCACCAGGACCGACACCGGGTTGCATGTTTTCATGATGCTTTGTTGGGCGGGTCACGCGCGAAGGCCATTGGCCGCGGCGATTCCCTTGACTCTGGCGTGGTTGAAGCGTTCTGCAGATGCAACTGCGGAGGACCAAGCCTTCGTTCCAAAAGGCGACAACTGTGACGACGACTTTGGTGTTTCTGGTGGCGCTGATTCTTGCAATGCTTCTGGGCCTAATAAGCAAAATGAATAAAAGAAATCAATTCAATTACAAAAAGCGAAGAAGAAAATGGCTGTTTTTCTAAGTATATATACCAAAAAGTTATCTATAACATATTCATTGCGCTCAAAATGTTTACATCGTATTAATATTGGCCTAAAATAAACATTCGAATATGTTGTTCTTTAAAGTCAATTGTATTAAACTCATCATTGGTTATTTTTATATGATGTTTTAACATTCATACATTTATACGATATAAAATTATTGCATTGAATTTTCAATAAGAGACTTAATATACAGATATGTATATATATATATATATACAATTTGTAAAGCTAATGCATTTTCAACTTTCTAAATATGTATAGCTATTTTTGCTTTTGACTTCATTGAACGTATTTATCATTCCAACTTATAATATAACTCAATATTTTTGATATATTTTTAACTAAGGTTTTTAAATCATAAACATTTCATAGTAAAAACTATATATTTTTAAACTATATAGATAAATTAGAAACAAAATTGTATAAATGAAGTTGTTTTAAATGTTTTAAGGTTTTTGCTAATAGAACCTTTACATATAAAGCCCTTGGCAAAGGAGCTGGGCCCACCGCGCTCCTCTGGCCGCACTTGAGCCCTGTGTCCACCTGGCTGTCCTCCTGCTGTCCTCGCGCCACGCTTGTGAACCCTGTGTCCTGCTCTTGTCTTCCTGGTGTGTCCTCCTCTTGTCCTCCTCGTGCCCTCCTGCTGTCCTCTGCCCGCGCTGGCGAACCCTATGTCCTTGCTTGTTCCCCAAAGAATTTATTGATGCCCTGTCTAAAGAATCTAAAAAGGATCTCGCCGCACGAGAACGAACAACCATGCACTGAATGTTCCACACAGCCATGAACACTTTCTATTTAGATTTTGTGAACATAGACCCCAAGCAGTTTCAGCTTATTTGGCGTCAGCTCCTTGAGTTCCAGTGTCTGTGGCAACGTCTGTATTGGGAAGGGCATGTAAACAAAACTGTCAAAAAACAACGGCTCTTGATTCCTGAGGTTGGCACAGGTGTATAAGGACGAAGGGATGTATATGTCATGAGAAATTTCGAAGATGATATCAAGCGCTGCGTCGCTGTCCATTCATAACCACATGAGGACATACCTGGGCAAAACGGTGGAGAAAGGAAAAGGGGCATGGCCAGGCAGGGGCCGACAACGCCGACAAGCAGGACAGACCCGCGCAAGGCCTGGACAAAACCTTCACAAGGCGGGATGCGAGGGCGCCCGGAATGCATGGAACGGGAACGGAACTTTGTGCTGGTTGTGGACGAGAGAGAGAGAGAGAGAGACAGAGAGAGCGAGTACATTGGGGGCAGTCCCTTCCCACATGCAGGTGGTTCTTGTTCTTCATGACTTTCTTCAGTCCTCTCTTCATCTTCTCCCGGTGCTCCAACTCTTGGAAATCTTCCTCACCTCGCCAAGGGCGAAAAGAAGAAAGAGTCTCGAGGATACCTGTTGAGACCAAAGTTTGGTCGGTTGTTTTTTTAGAACGCCGGCTGCGATGTGACAACCCAAGAAACGTAACGCCATGCATGCTCTTCAACAGTTTCAAAAGAGAGGTTTTAGGCGCCCAAAGCTGGCAACCGCAAGCCCTTGCAGATGATGGCAAGGCAAATCCTGAAGACTTTATCGTTGCACTGCGGCTTTCTTGGTTCGTGCACGGCTGTTTGAAATGAAACACACGACGGGCACCGGATCGAGCGCAACACAAAAGTCCAGCTACCGGCAACCCACAAAGTGGTAACCCAAACATCGACACGCGCCCCATAGTCGTATATTCAGGTCCAGCAAGGAATATGTCCGACGCAATGGTTTTGCATCGCTAGCTAAATTTCGACATAAGGCTCGTGCGTTTCTATCGCAAATTAAGAACAAACCATGTTGCCGCCATAGCTGACGACATCCTTTCAGTGTTTTCAAGGCTACCATGACAAGTGTATAAACGGATGACTTTGTTTTTCCCTGCAAAACCCTAGTAGCTTGGAGGCCCGTCCTAGTAGCTTGGAGGGTATCTCTAGTAGCTCGTATGCCCTCGCCTAGTCTTTTACCGGATGCACGTTCGAATGCGCGTACTGCACATCCCTTGCCTTGTTGCGCGCTTTTCGTTCCATTGCCAGGTCGCTATCTACATTGATCTTGTGGCGGCGCTGCAGGAGACGGATCTTCGTCGCAGAGCAAGAAAGACAGTTTTGCACACGTGATGCTGTACGTTCTCGGTCCATTCTACGCGAACGATGTGATCATATCGCCTGCCGTGATTGCGCCTAGGTATATCTCACAGATTGTGGAGCTGTTGTCGTGCGCTCGTGCTCGGCGCTGAATGCCCGTGCACGACATAGCATCGTTGGCTGCTGAGGCGTCTCACAGTGGGACGGCTGTCACACTTGTCTTGTGTCTTGTCTGGTGTCTTGTCCTCTGTCTTGTCTTGTGTCTTGTCTTGTGTCTTGTCTTGCGTCTTGTTTTGTCTTCTCTTGTCTTGTCTCTTGTCTAGTCTCTTGTCTTGTCTTGTCTTGCTTTGTCTTGTAATGCTTGTTCGTTTGTTTGTTTCGTCTTTTTGCTTTGTTTAGTTTTTTGTTTGTTTGTTTGTTTGGTTGGTTGGTTGGTTTGTTTGTTTGTTTGTTTGGTTGGTTGTTTTGTTTTGTTGTTTTGTTTTGTTTTTTGGGGTTCAAGTGCAGATTTCGTGGCGTGGGGGGGGGGGTGGGGAGCGCCCCCCCCACCAGAATACCAGATCTGAATATTGTTTGCATGTCTTTGTGTGTTTGCCTCTTGGTTTCTTTGTTGGTTGGTTGGTTGGTTAGTTGGTTGGTTGGTTGGTTTGGTTGGTTGGTTGGTTGGTTGGTAGGTTTGTTGTGTTTGCTGCCGGTTGGTTGTTTTTTGTTGTTGTCGGTTGGTGGATTGGTTTGTTGCTTAGAAGGCTTGACAGCAGGCATGTTCACCCAAAAAACCGATTTCGTGGCAGGTGCGGGTGTTGGGGATGAAGTGCAGATTTCCACCGTAAATCTCGATTTCGCGGCAGGCGTGGGTGTTGGGGATGAAGTGCAGATTTCATGGCGCAGGGGGGGTTGGTGTCAGTTGGTTGGTTTTTGTTTGTTGTCGTTTGGTGGGTTGGTTGGTGTGTGTGACACGAGCTATTCAATATTCCTGTTTTGCAATCCATCATCCATGCGGGGTCGACTGCAAATGCTGACCGCGCGTTCACGTTGCTGTCCAACCTGTGGCAGGAAACGCGTGGATCTGATCGGCCCTCGTTGCGGTCTTCTGTTGTGCAGGTTCACAAAGATTTTGCCCCTGCTTTTGAAAGTGCTCGACTGCACCACTTCCCAAAAAGTCGCCCTTGTGATGATTTTTTCCACTTGCGAGATTGATGCACGTTTAAGCCAGACGCATGTGCAAGGAGGTGTTTTTGTGAAGACGCACTTGTCGTGGTCGCGCGCCTGCTTGCAAAGTCTGCGGTTTGCGCCTCGCCTTGCTATCTTTCACGCTTGCTGGCAGAGTTTCATGAATCGGCTGCATGCCAAAGGTGAAGCAAACGTCTGTGAATACCTTTGCAATAACTACACTCAATCGCTGCCAGACCGCTTCGCCGCTGTGGGACATGATCCAGAGTCTTGGTTTGCTTCTTTCTGGTGTGGTTATGAAGGTGTGCTCCCTGGCACCGGCTGCGGCAGTGAGCCATCCGAGGCTCTCCATAAGAGACCCACAGCGCCCGCCCAGGCCGCGGCCAACCTGGCACACAGACCCAGACAAAGCCCGGACAAAGCTGTTGGGTCTTGAGCTCTGGTTTCAAGGTCAGGCGGAAAGATTTCAGCCATGCCTCGGAAGCCCGGCTTTTGAGGAATAAGACAAGAGGAGGACAAGAAGAGGACAACACAGGGTTGGCCAGCACGGCCAAAGGACAACACCAGGACAAGACAAGGACAAGAAGAGGAGGGCAGAGGGTTGGCCAGCGCGGCCAAAGGACAACTGGAGGACAAGAAGAGGACAAAAGAAGGACAAGAAGAGGACAAGAGGACAAGAGGACAAGACGAGGACAAGAGGAGGACACAACAACAGCAGGACAAGGGGAGGACAAGACCCGGACACAGAGTTCAGGGGCGCGACCAGCCAGTGTGGCCAGCTCCTTGTTTTCTGAGAGAGAACCCCAACACTAAATTGTTAGGGGAAACATAGATAATCATATAGAGATGATTTTTTCTTAAAGAAGTAGGTTTTGACCTCCCAAGTGCTTCCTTCCAAAGACCCAGAGCGAGCGACCTCCTTCCCAGCCCTCGCAGGACCCCCGCACGGACAATCAGGCGATCAAGGAGGCGGCCTACGCGAGCATTCCAGCGACTTGGCGCGACTCGCAATGCGAACGGCTTCGCTTCGCATGGGACGAGCGAGGATGGACGATCTTGGCCCGATCCTGAAGAGGATGGTGGCCGGCACAGACAGATTGATCCTGGGAGGGTTCCAGTCAATTTCATAACCCAGAGGCTCATGGACGCAAACCAACTGCTGCAAATTGGTTTGGTCCAAAGCCCTCGCTGTGAGGGTCAAAACCCTAGCTATATGGAGGTCCTTTCTGAGCTTGCTGGCGCGAATCATCTCGTCGAACCGGACGACTCGTCGAAGTGGAGGTTTCCCGTTTATAGAGCCAGACGCCACAGTCCAAGAGGCAGGAATCCGAGCCTGTTAATGTTAAGAAACCGTTGACTGACATTGACTGCACGGTTCATACCAAAACTTATTGTGTTTCTATGGTCTTTCGCTTTCCCTTTGAACCCTTTCAAACCCTTTCGTACGAAACCACCACGCTTTACATCTAAGTGGCACCTCAAAACGCAGGATGCGTTTCCCGAACCGGTTTTTTCCTTTTCGGCCCGAAGAACAACGGTCGTCTTCCACCGTGCTTCATGGCGCGCTTTTCCACGCGCGCTGAGGTCATCGCGCTGTGTGACACCGATTCGCCTTTGGAGAACGTGGACGTGGCGATTCCCGCCAACAACAAGGGCAAGGCGCGCGCGTTGGCTCTTTTGTTTTAACGGTCCCACGCACGAGCGCCCAAACCTTCGGTTGGGACGGTTGAGGTGAAGGGGGGGGATAGTCGGCAAACCACTTTCTAGTTCGTATTCGAGTCGGTGCCAGTGGTTCCCAACGACTTCGTCCCTGTTCAGATGTTCGCCTGCTATAAGAAACTGCCCTGCTAGGAACAAGAGGACGCTAGGGCCTAGGGGCTCCGATCGCATCGCGACTCGAACGGAGCGAACGGACGCAATACTATATATAGGGGCTCCTGGCCTTACTACTAGGAGCAAAAGGACGCTGCACCAACAGAGGTTGAAGAACCCTATAGACTATCCCATCAGTACCCCCAGTAGTAGGGTCGTAGTTCAGGTCACTGAACCTCTCTTGGCAGTTGAAGGTTTCGGGAGTTCCCGAAACGCCTTGTGGGTGACCGGCTGTCACTCGCCATCGCGTCCACCGAGAACTCGTTCTTGGGTCGTCCGTTTTTATCGGCGGGGTCCTCGGGATCTGCGGGTCCCGTCCTCGGTCTTTGGTGGGGCTTTGTTCGGAAAAGGATGAGAGCAAATGATAGAAGATTCAAGGTGATTCCCTATAGAAGTGAATCTGAATTCTATTGAATTCGGGATTTCTATGGGAATGAGCTTCCAAGATCCGCTTTTCCCTCCCCTTCACCCTTTGAGGTCCTGCCCCATCCGCTTCCCAAACTCGCCCAAAACCGGTCGCCCGGTGGTGGGAGGAATCCATTGCGTTGCTCTACTGGCTTTTGGCCCGCGAGGCGGGGGGGTCTGGATGGGATGGGTAGAGCAAGGACTATTCATGTACCATTCTATATGCATGAATCACACCCCCTCAGACAGGGATTGTAAGACCAAGCTCCTCAGGGGAGGGGATGATTTTTCTAAGATTCTACACTAATTAGAAGGGGTGAGCTGTTTGGGAGTACCCACCGTAAAAAGTATCCCTTCCAATCACCAATCACGAATCGGCGTGTTGGGCTCCTCTAATCGACACGCCAGACTAGACGCGGAGTGTCGTGGGAGGGGCCCTTTGGCATTGAACAGGCTTACTTGTGATTCTTTTTTCATGGGGTGATATCGAATTTACGCCGCATTCATCATGCATCAATTTGAAAGTGACAGCCCAGATATCTCAAATGTTAAGTTAAGAGGCTCTCATTAAGAGGATTTAAGAGGTTTTCAATTCTTCTAGTCAGGAACCACCAATTCCACCAAGATCCAATGAATTGCCATGGTTTGCCTATCCCTGACCTCAACAACTATAGGTGTGTCTACGGCTGGAACGACTCTCAAATACTGCAGTGGAAAGTCCATGAAACACAAGCCCTTGACAAGAACTTCCACCATAAAAAAGCCATCCATTTCCAATGCCTTCCATTTCTCTTTCCTGTTGCTTTCCACAAAATGACCTCCAAGGCGACCCACGAACTCCTGTCTGTCACCGCCACATCTGCGAAATGTCAACAAAAAGTCCGGGCGGCTTCACTGTTCCGCACCACGTCTACCGTTGCGTTAAACGCGTGTCGCTTACTTCGTTGGTCCGTCGTCTTTGTTCGTCGGTCGGGGCTTTGCGAGGTGCTCTACCTCCGCGGCACCTTGCCACGCGCGGCGCCTTGGGACGTCATGGTGGACTCGCCCCTCGGCGGAACAGCTTTTAGCCGGTGCCGGTGAATGGGGTGGACGACTCGCCCGGCTTGGGACGTCCGGTAGAGGCGGCTATGTGTCGTTGTTCTGCCGCTGGGGTTAGGCGTTTTTGGAGCGGATGGCATGGAGGTTGCTTGTGTGTGGGTTTGGATTTGGGATCACAATAGATACAAAGAGCATCAAAGAGCATATTATGATTTGTACAACACATTGTGTTTGCATGCTAGTTTTTTAGCTGATCATCCTGCACTAGATAGGGTTGATGGGGGAATTCTGCGAACAGAGAAGGGTGAGGCCTTTGGTATCTGCTTCAGGATGTATGAAAGAGAGAACATTTATGCTTCCTAGATGGCACCTTGAATCAGGTCAAGGTCCTGGGAAGGGCTTGGAGGAAGGGCTTGATAGAGAGGACGTCTGCACGAGTCTTGGGGTGTTTTTCCCATGCTGTTCCCATGCTCAGGAGGTGAAGAACACGACCAGTTCTGATGTGTTTATTGTGATCGGGTCGTCTTGTCTATGCGATGACTGCTGTCCATGCCAGTTAGTCATCTCTGCTTCTTGTCAATGAAACACCCAGTATACGAGCCAGTCAAAAAAGGCACGTTTGAACCCCTATAGATTTCGATGTTCTCCAACCCGGATCCTACCGTTCTCCCACCCCATCCCACCATCGACTTACCGCCGTTCTCCACGGTGTTGGAGATCGAGGTTTTTCTGGCGCGACCCGGAGGAGATCATGCAGCAAGAGGAGGAGATTCGCGACTCTCACGCGGTCCACCCGCATGAAGACTCACGCGGTCCGGTTCCTTCATGGAGACATAGCTGAGACATAGGGCTGAGAACGAAGTTTTTGACCAATGTGCATGAGCAACCATTGAGCAAAACAGCTTGAGAGAGTCACCCCTACCCGGACCCTTCACATGATATACATGTATCCTCATGTCCACCTTTTCCGAGCTACGAACGGGCCGCTGCGCCAGCGGTGCACGGCAGGAGCCTCAACCAGTGCATCAGGAGTGGCAGGCGCCCACACAGGCCTGGGAAGGTGCAGGCGGGGAAAGTGGATGGCGTTGCTTGGGGAGGGATGGCGTTGCACGCCGATCAGTTCTTTCTTCCGCATCTTGACTGGACTTCCCCGGGACGCGGGGCCAGGAAAACTGGGCACCAGAATTTTGGCGGTGAGGGCATGATCCATCTCCTACGTACGTCCAGTCTGACTCACCCTGAAAACCTCCTAGCTCGAGTAGTGTGGAAATGTATGAGCAACGTCCAGGCGCTTCATGATTTCCAACCGACCGGCGCAAGGGGTGTACTGGCGAGTCATCAGTGGGCTGGGTAGTCCTAGTCCAACCCTTGAATGGTCACTGGTATTTATATATCGATCTGAATCTGTTTGAATTTGGATCCCAACTTGGCGTGATCTTATTCAGGCCTCGGAGTCAGATGCGCCGCGACCACGGTGCCGATCCACTTTCTTCTGGCGATGGAAAGAAGCAAAGGGAGAACTTAGACAACACAGTGGAGATAATGAGATAATAAGACTGATTGAGATGATTTTTGTGAGCCCTTGGATCAAACACCTACCAGCGGTGGGGCGGTCCTAGCTAAGCTTTGATCATGGAGAGTTTGGTCGTAGAGCCGCAGGTGGCCAATTTAGATTTGGATGCAAGAGTTTCGCTGGTCATCCAGGTCGAGTGGATGGACACGAATGGTTGGATGTTAGGGGAGACAGTCTGTCACCGTCAGAAGGTGTGGATCCAACATGACTTAGAAACAGTCCGGGCCGTGAAGATCACCTTTCTGGATTTGGTTGTCACCCGTGCTGACAATATTCCTTCATTGAAGATGGATCGAATGTCCTTTTCCTTTGTGCATCAGGTGCTCACACCGGAATCCCTGCTGCAGGTGGTGGAGACCTGCTCAGGTTTAGGAGCACTTGGTCACGGGGCTGAAGCTGCAGGCTTTAAGGTCATGGCCAGAAATGAAGTCAGACATGAAATCTGCGATTTTTTGGAGCGACAGGGAGGACCGGTCATCATTCGAGGAGATATTGGTGATTCCATCACGGTCGCCACAATCATGAAGCAGGTTCCAACTACGGGGGTGTTGACAGCTGGAGTGTCATGTCAGCCTTTCTCACGCATGGGAGATCGACGAGGAAGCGCTGATGTCAGAGCCAGTTGTTTGCCAAAAGTGCTCAGGGCAGCCTATTGGATGCAAGTCCCAATCATCGTGTTGGAGTGCGTTGCTGAGGTGGTCCGGTTCCCAGCCTTTGACAGGTGCATCAAAGCCTTTTGTGAGGCTTCTGGATTCCACTATGAATCGGTCTTGCTCGAGCTGGGGGATGTTTGGGTTTCTCGGAGACATCGATGGTGGGGTGTCCTGTCGAAAAAGAATCTGGGGCCATTCAAACTGTTTGATTGGAATGGGATCAAGTCCACCCCAAAGATTTCATCGGTTTTGAATTGCTTTGACACTGTCCCTCCCGAACATGCAAAGCAATTGGCTTTAACGTTGTATGAGCTTCGTTCCATCCAAGAGCTTGGCACCTTGGAGCGCTATGTCATCAACATTGAGGAGCAGGCACCGACAGCAGTTCATTCTTGGGGCAGTCACTTCCATGGCTGCAGATGCGGCTGTCGAAATACTGGATTGACCCTGGAGCGATTGCAGAGAGATGGTATCCATGTTCTCTTGATCCCAGTGAGCGGGTCCACCAAGCACATGGGCATGGAGCTTCAACATATGAGATATCCCTCAGGGGCGGAGTGTGCATTGTTGAATGGGTTGTCTCCCAACTTGCAGTGGGGCCAAGATGCTCGGCTTGGGTTGTGTCTGGTTGGTCAACTGGCATCACCCCTCCAGAGTGCTTGGGTGTTAACACATGTTCGCCAACATCTCGCCGTACGAGGACTTTTGCCGCCAGTTGGTGAAGGGCCATTGGAGGTGTTGTCTAAACAGAGGACCAAGCTCATTGAGGAGGCAGAACAGGGTGGATTCTTTCGATTCTTGATGGACGCAGATGGTCAAGGTGCTCCTCCTGTCGGTGTTGGGGCCAGGATTCCCATGGAAGTTCACACTGCACCTTCCAGTGGGATTAAGGATGGGGAGTTCCTGGGGATTGTGAACGGAGTGGAATACAAGATCCCCTTCAAGGCAGGTTGCCAAATTTGGCATTGGATCCAAGCCGAGATGGCCTTTCATCCAGCAGGTACCAAGTTTGTGTGTGTGGACAACGTTGGCCGTTTGGTCAATCTGCATTCGGAGCTTTGCAATGCTACTTGGCTCCGATTGGACATCATGGAAGGGGAAGGGGATAGCAAGGTCGTTCTGCCGGCCATGATCATCCAGGACCAACGACCACCATGCATTTTGACGCCCCAGGATGTGGTGCAAATGAGGAGCAATGGACCCATTCTGGCCCAGAAACTCCTGGAGGTGAGTGATCCGGGCCAACCATGGGGTGATGATGAGATTGCATGGCATCTGGGAAAGTTGGCAGAAGAGGCAGATTCTTTTGCAGTATGGGTGGATCCATTGGTTACTGCTAGTCACCTTGTCCATGGCACAACCGTGTTCTTGGCAACTGATGCACCTTTCTTCCGGGTGCAGGGCTGGCTCTTGAGTGTTCCGTTCATTGAGGGGCACTGGATTCCGTTGTTGGGATTCGCAGATGAGGACCATGTGCACTTTTCGGTTTGGGACACTACCTCCGAGCACTTTGCACTACTGGAAGGGCTCTATCGTCCGTTGACAAAACTCATTGGAGCTGAGACTTTCTCGGTTACCAAATATCTTCGGGGGGCAACAAATCTGCAGAGTTGTGGGCCTGATGCCATTTTGCCATGATGAAATGCATTGCTCCGACACCACGGCAGTTAGAGCACATTTCTTCTACCAGGCATTGGGCTTATGTTCAGCATCTGCAGGACACACAACAGTGTCAAGATGCAGTGTTGCGAGGAGCCGGAACTCATCAAGGTCAGTTGGCAGGTCAGATGACTGCACTGTTGATTGAAAAGGGCATTTCCCAGGTTGATGCTGACCAACGTGTTGCTTTAGCTTTGGAGCGAATTGGCCATCAGAAGTTGCAGCAAGCCATGAAGTCTCCCTTCCCATGGAGCCAGTTGAAAGTCCTTGGGAATCAGTGCAATCCACCATTGAGGTGGATTTCCCAACAGGAGTTAGAAGCACAGATCAGACTCAAAGCGGCCTCGGGTCAAGAGATTGGCAACAGAGGGAAGGTCAAGAAGCAGAAGCCTTCCTTTCATGGGGTGAAGCCTCCACCTCCAGTCACGGTTCGTCCTGATCAGATCTTCCTTGCAGATCATACATTTGTGGGGGTCAATCAGGATGGCTCTACAGAGGGCCTGAAGACAATTTCCATCACGAGTTTGGGTCCGGAAGCCACTGGGGTCGCCTTGTGCCTGCCAGATCAATGCCGTCCTTATTTGTGCCTTCAGCAGCCTTTGTCCAAGAAAGCGTTGGGTTTGGTGGTGGTTGGAGAACCACGGCCAGAGTTGAGTGCACCCAGGGTGACGGAGGTCAGATTTCCGGCAAAAAGGTTGGGAGGCATGGAACCTATTCTGGTCAATGCAGTATTGGTTCAGATTGGTGACCGTCCGGTGCAAAAGTACAAGCCGGATCACTGCATGAGTTTGGATATTCTCCAGACAAGTGTCATCAGGTTTGCAATCTACAGGGATGAACTCCCGGATGACTGGACGACCGTCACTGACAGACCCATCCGGCACCTCCAAGATACGTTTCCGCCTATCCAGATCTGCTTGCAAGATCCGTGCGGATGTGCAAAGTGGCATAGCAAGGTTGAACAGGTGGCATCACCGTTGGTTGACATCTGGGCCAGGAGTTTCCTGACGAGCACATTTCGACCAGCTCGTCCTCAGGATGCCGAGATCTTTTCAGTCATGACGAGGCTTCCAAAGAAGATGATTGAACTGGTCCTTCGAGCTTCGGGGACCCATGGGATCTACGTTGAGCCACGTGCTGAAGACACCAGGGAGGCATGTGCTGACTACCAGGTGATTTGGCTTCCAAAGCACAAACGGGAGGAAGCAACCCTCTTGAGCAAGCAAACTCAGGGGGTAGTTGGATTGGCTCGATCTGGCGACAGAGTGGGCCTTCGAGTTGTGACAGCCCTGGCGGAGAAGGTAGCCACATCTATTCGACCGGATGAAATGTATGTTTCGGCACTTGGTCGGAAGCAGTTTCAGATTGGCCCTATTCCCTACGGAACTCAGCGGGTGGCATTGGCGAAGGCGCTGAAGGAGTTTGGGTGGAACGCCAAGCCGGTCCAGGTTGTTCAGTCAGGATTCTCAGTTCAAGGCCTACATTGGTCCATCCAGTCCACAGAAGATCCTCCAAGTACGGTCCTGCATTTTCGATCTTCGGAGGCCATCATCACCCCGGTTGGAAGTGATGTAGTTCCCACGAGACAAGCACCATCCGTCGTTGCTGCCAAAGGAACGATTGACAAGCTGAGGCCGACAGTGTATCCAAGGAGCAAAAGGACATCCTTCAGACCAATGACCCATGGGCGAGGTTCAAGCCTGCATCCTCATCGGCTACTCCGGTTGATGTCTCCCAGTTGGTGCAACATGTTCGATCTGAGGTCTTGGCGAAGATTCCTGCCCCAGTTTCCACTGCACCTGGGGGGGATGTTGATATGACCAATTCGCAAACGGAGACACGGATTCAGGCACTTGAGAAGAAGATGGAAGCTTTGTCGGCTGCCCAGGATCAGCTCCAAGTGTCCACGGCGAAGCAGGCTGCTGCCACCACGAAGCAGCTGGCATCCATCAACACCAAGGTGGATGAACAGAAGAGTGAATTGAAGACTATGTTCGATCAGCAGATGCAACAGATCGAACAGCTCTTATCTAAGCGAGCCAGGACGGACTGACTCCATGGCGGGAAGTTGATCTTTGTACAGATTGGTGGGTTTTTCTGGACATGCTTGATTGGGCTCTGGCTGGGGTGTGTCAGGCTGCTGGGGAGTATGTCCCTTTTTTGGGGTGGAGATCGTCAGAG